CTATTATTTAATGTGCTTCAAAAGGACATGAATATCGCCATTCATCAGTGACCGGTCCACCCCAGGATCTGACCATACGATGGCCACCATTGTGGTCGAGGGAAACAAATGAATGAGCAAGCATTCTGCGTTAAATGAGTTCATACTTTTTGAAATAATGACTGTCGGCAGAGTAAACATCTTGTTACATCTTTTGTAAAATTGATGTGTGTGATCTGCAGATTGGTGGCCATTTGGAGTTTGTTACTGTAGTTTTACAAAAACTTTACAGATTTTACATATTTGGCACTGGTTTTAAATATGCAAAGGCCTCTAACTTCGATGTGATGGCAGCATTTATTTGCTGTGTCCCCATTTCCCATGGTAATATGGCTAATGTGTTTATTTATTATTTGTGGAGAAATTTAAATTTGTGTTATCCATCTTTTTTTCAAGATTTAAATGAAGCTAAGCCCAAGTTCTTTCAGGAAGACAGGGTGTATATACATTCACTCCGCAGCTGCATATAATCAGCTCATCAGGCGTTCTCTTTAACCTATTACATTTCACCTCATTCTCCAGCAGCCAATCAACGCGCTGCAGCCAAACTATAAAATGGTTCTCCTCTCTCCTGCAGTCAGCTGTGATTTCAGGTGTTGATGCACTTTATCATATGGTGTCAATAAATGTTCAAACTAAATGAATTCTCTCCTGTTTGAAACATCATGTGTTGAAATAAACAACTGCAGTTCTAAATAAAAAGTGAATTGCCTAATATTTTTGTTGTGGAATTAATTTCTTTCTTTAAAGGCAAAAACATGAAAAAGCTAAGAAAAAAAACTGTTGAATATAATATATTTGGAGCAACTTAATTTATAAATGGTTGTCAACTTAAAAAACGTGTGTTCACAATGATGGTAATTAAGTACATACAACTTAAAATTCCTTTTAAATCATACGGTAAAACAAGTTGGAACAACTTAATTTTTGGAGTAATCAACTTCAAAACTTGTGTTTATGCTACCAATTATTAAGTAAGTGGTCATTAAAAACACCTCTGATTGTAGAGGAAAAGCCTTCTCCTCTAACTCAAATAACTTTTTTGCTTTAAGACAATTTCATTAGAAGTTGTCTTAACTCAATAAACATCGATGCAAACTGTTGCGTTGATTTTCTTTGTTGAGCCAAGGCATTTGTTTTTAGAGTGCATGAAAAATGGGAGCAAAAACAAAAGTGTTGCATTTATATTTTTGTTCAGTGTACATCCATGGCCTAAATAACCATCTAAGTCATTACCATTCATTCAGATACTGTATTGCAAGAGCAGGTATTACATCTTCAATCTTAACAAACAAAGGCTTATCTTATTGGTATTCAACCTGTAGTCGTTGAGTTATTACTGCCTTGATCAACGTTTTTGATTAACTGACCGATCATCAAACACATGGAGGGCTCTGGTCGTCAGGTTATATATTCTTGAAAATCTGTACCTGAAACCACAACCAATTTTCAACCAATGTCAACAGTGAAGCACAGTTCATGATACTGTGTGAAAGTGTTTGATTAAAAACAGCTTGAAAATGTGTATAATATCTCGTTTTCTATTAAAATGTGCCTTGTGTGAGCAGTGCATTTACATTTCTTCCATGTTCAATAAGAGATAAGTGCATGAGCAACATCCACTGATGGTGTCACACAAGAACACAATTCTCCGACTGTCATCCTCTGAGAGTTTTTGTTTGTCAAATATGTGAACTTTACATCTATATCTGTCATATGTCACTGTGAAAGCATTTTCACTTAAGGCACCTAAAGCAAAACCCCATGCTCAGCAGAGTCAACAAATAACTCAATCCAGCTTCTCAAACAACAACAAGAGGAGACCAGGAGACCACTCAGCAGCTGCTGCTGCTGCTGCTAATGCCTGAGTTTGAATCAAACTAAATTCCTGTACATACATTGTTTTTGTGTATGTATTTTATTTTTAATTTATTATGTTGATACTTTTTTCCACCATGAAAGATTTTAAGATTGCTGCTATAACAAAAACATTACCCAATTGTGGAACAATAATCATGTCTGTCTGTCTGTCTGTCTGTCTGTCTGTCTGTCTGTCTGTCCGTCCATCCGTCTCTGTCTGTCTCTCTCTCTCTGTCTGTCTGTCTCTCTCTGTCTGTCTGTCTGTCTGTCTGTCTGTCTGTCTGTCTGTCTGTCGGTCTGTCGGTCGGTCTGTCTGTCTTTCTGTCTGTCTGTTGTCTCTCTGTCTGTGAGTATGTCTATCTGTCTGTCTGTCTGTCTGTCTGTCTGACTGTCTGTTTGTGAAAATGCTGTTCATTTACAGTTCAGCTTTCAACACCTAGCTGGTCATCAAGCTCAACAGCGCCCTCTGTGAATGGATCCTGAAACTCATTCGTTGCTCCCTGGCGTCAGTAAAAAAATCACCCACCCATTCAAGCTCATCCATACCTGAATTGTTTTAAGATGTTATTATATCTTTCAAAGCCCTGAGCCTCGTCTCAAATTGTATAAGACCTCATATTGTCTCTTTTGGCTGCTTGACATCTTTAGAGGGGGAAGTCCTTGTTGTTTCAACATACACAAAGAATATGGAGTCTCTGCAGTCTCCCAGACCCTGGAGGGATCTGCCTGAGGGGTCAGGGCTGCACTCTTTGTTTCAACTATTATTAAAGAGCTTTATACATCTTTTTACAATTGCTTTTCTATTTATTTTCTTGCTATATCAGATAAATGGCAGGGTTAGTACTTTAATTAAAACACTTATCTTTTAGCGTGATGATGAATTTCTCAAATCAATTTGAAGATTTTGAAATGTTTAGTAATCTTGAGACTGAAGGTGGGATACATTGAACTCACCACTCCGTAGGCCACAATGTTACTGTAGGAGCGGAGCTCAGGGTAGATGTTGGAGAGGAACCAGCTGAAGGGTCGGCACTGCAGTCTGGACCTCAGGGCTTTCCTTTCAGATAGGTCCCCAATGTCTATTCCTGAATTCTAGAGAGTAAAATAAAAACAAATACATCGAATTTTACAAATGCCAACTTTGAATTCTACCCTCTAGCAAAAAAAGAAGTACAATCAGCTTCAACTTCGTAGTCTCCAATGCTCCAAAAATATATATCTTGTCCAGAATTCAGGGCGTCTGGCTCCTTTCAGCATGACTAAGTCCTTAGAATGAAAAATGTAAGAGCGTTACAAAAGTAACTGAGCATGAAGTCAGCAAGAAACGGTAATACAAAGAAGGGAGAAGATGTTATTTATTAAAGAAAATCTGAAATTCTGAATATTAAGAAATAATGATTTTTCATCTTACAATGTCAAACATAATTAAATTAGAGAAATGGGAAGGCCGAACATGCATATATGTATTTCAACAGTACAGAGGGGTTTCAAATAATGTGAATCACTTTATACTTCCGGACATCAGAATTTGTGATTTTGCTGACCACTATAATCAGGGAAAAGTTTCCAATTGTAATACACACCTTTCTCTCCAGGTTGCTGTGGTAGCGGACAGTGAATCTGTATTGTTCCCTAACCCCTGACCCAGGCAGGTTCCCAGCTTCTGTGTTCACTCTGTGCTCACAACAGTGACTGACTTTACTGACTGCAAAAGTCAGCTGATTGTGTTTTCTCAGCAGTTGTTGCTAGCTTTTATGCATCCATCTGCACCCTTCACAAATGTCTCTTTACCTGCAGTGGGACGTTCCAGGCCATGTAGACATGGCTCTTGTACTGGTCCATCCAGACCTCCGCCACTCTCAGAGCGTTCCGCCGCACATGTGCTGTCAGGTTCTTTGTGTAGGGTTTGTGGGCCCGCTCGATGTGAGCAATCCTGGAACATGGTAGAACCTCCACACTGCCACCACACTGCCACACCTACACACACACACACACACACACACACACACACACACACACACACACACACACACACATTAGTGACAGTTTAACCTCTATGCTCTGTTTAGCATGATATTATTGCGAACTAACTGTATTATAAGAGAACACTGATTTTTTCGGCACATTTTCAGTCAAACAATTGTGTATTTTTAGCAGTAAAACATCTTCAACATCCCTGCAATCAATGAAACTCTTCAGATGACAGCTCACTACTCCCTGTGATCCCACTTCAACTTCACTGCTTCAATTTTAGCTGCCATTTCAGCAATCTTACTGTCTTACTGACTGGGTTTCAACTTTACATTTTTAGCATAGAGCAAGTGTGAATCTTCTCCAGATGTTGCAATTCTTAGTTGTCATGACAATATTTAATCAACTGATGCTTCTCCCATGCAGGGCTCGACAGTAACGGTTGCCAGGTTGCCATTGGCAACCATTCAGAAAAAATGTCAACCACTTCTTGGCCTTTGGTTGCCATCAGTGGCAACCACTTTTTAACATGAAGAAATAAGGACAGCAAACAGCTAAATGTGTTCCCCAAAAGAGATAAATGTTAATTATTTGTTGTATTAAGAGTGATATTTAATTATTGTTGTGACCAGTCGGAACCTGATACTTAAGTTGCACGTGCATTGGTGTGTTTACGGAGCCAGAAAGCGATGCACGTTTACTCGCTGTGCGCCATGTGTTTGTTTTACAAAAAATGGCGAAGCAAATTAAGTTGTTTGACTGTGGGGTAAAAAGTTTGGCCAACCCGTCAACATCTGAAACGAATGTTCGAAGTGATTCAACTGATAAAGCGCAAAATGAACCCGAACGAAAAGCAAAGAGGAAATGTGTAAAGTCTTGGGAGGCGAAATATATATGTACATTCTGCTACG